CAAATTTGTCCAGTCTGGCAAACAGAAATCCCATCCCCAAAATGCTGTTTTCCTGTTTGGCTTTAATCTATTGCCTCTGCATGCAGTCTCAGCTCTGTCTAAATTTGATTTTCTTGTGCATTGACTTGCCACCTCAAATCTGTTTGGCTCCCTTTCCTTCGAATGCCTCCAGCAGTGGAGGCTGGGACTCCTGCTCCTTAATCTGAAGTTAAGGCTGCTTCTGCATCTCATACCAACTGCATCTCAGGAGGACTGGTGTCCAAGCAAGGCTTGACCTTGACCCTGGCCCTGCAAAAACTGAAATACACTGAAAAGAGGCAAGAAGCATTTTTAAATCTTGTTATCAAACAGCAGAGCCTGTATCCTCTCTGGGTTAGGATTCTGCTGTGCCAGAGTTTGGTGTACAGTTAAGACATGAGAAGTCATTGGTCATGCTGGTCCACCTCTACAGAGGTTTGCCTTGTTAGCCCTGATTCATGTAATATGAGCTCTTCATTGTGTAGGTGGGTAACAGCAGTGCTGCCCTAACCCTTGGTGAAGGGTTTTACATTGATTGCTTAGTGGAGGTAGTCCAACCTGCCCTTTCCAGTCTCTCTTAGCCTTAGAGATGACTTACAACTCAACACACTTTGTTTTTTTCTATTCCTTGTATGTCCGCATCCCTGGTGAGACCGCTTACAGGGGTGTGGGTTCAGTTGCTTCTTGATCTGGTGTCATATCTTAGGCTGGGACTTGCATTGCATCCAACCAGCAACCCTTCCTGACTTAGGTCTTGCATTGCCCTTCGGCTTCTGTAGCTCAGCTGTCTCCAGTTTGAAGGCTACCCACTTCATTTCCTTGTGATTGCTGCAGTCTCTGAAAGCCCATATTGAGCTTTACACTGTACAGGGAGGATCATGGTCCAGGTTGCCCAGAGCGGTGGTGGATGCCCCATCCCTGGCAACATCCCAGGTCAGGCTGGACGGGGCTCTGAGCAACCTGCTCGAGTTGGGGATGTCCCTGCTCACTGCAGGGGGTTGGAGTAGCTGGCCTTTAAAGGTCCCTTCCCACCCAAACTCTTCTGTGATGTTATGATCACCTTGCCAGTGTTATCCTGAGGAAACCTGAGCTCCTTGCGGGCGAAAGCAGAGATGCTGAAAGCAACCCCAGGAGCTGGAGCAGGTCTGCCTGGATGTGATCTTTTATGTGGCTGCTGCTCCCTGCTGACAGCTCTGGGCATCGTGTATCTACTGCAAAAAGCTCTTGCAGCCCGACCTTGCGTGACCCAGTGCTGGGCCGTGCAAGAGTGTGATGGAGGCGTTGCCTCTGTCTTCTCCTAGGCAAGGCAGGCTTTGATTGGGAGCTTTTTTAGGAAGATAACGTGCCCCCGTGCTGCCTTTAAGCGAATAGAAAAATGACCTGGTATTGATGCATGGTTTGAGCCAGAGGAATTCAGTAGAGAGATACCGGAGCTATGTGTGAAGGTTGTGTTGCCGGCATTTGGACTGGACGATTTGGAAATCACCCCAAAGCTTTGCTGACCTAAGCATGTAAGGTGATAACTAATGAGAAAACAAATGATTCTCAGAGACATCTTAAACTCTTGGGCAGTTTTCTGTACTTGTTGGGCGTGTTGCTTGTGTGGTGCATTTAGGCCTTTGTTTTGAATGGTTCCTCTTTCCAACCCCTGAGTAATTCTTGAAAATCATGGGTTGTGAATGCTCTTTGTGTCTTGATGGAAACTTAACGATCCTGATGGTGGCAGAGATGAGTGGAAAAACAGGAATTTACAGGTGCTTTAAATCTGAAAGCAAAATTAGAAAAAAAGAAGTATTTTAAAAAATAGCTTTATTTTGATGTGCTTATGTTTCAGTGCAGAAAACCTGCCAGTTTTTCTTTCCATAGTTTCTTTTTTTTTTTTTTCTGGTCCATCTGTTGTTGGTTTATGGACATTTTGGGACTTGCTATACTGTACTGGCTGTGTAGAAAAACAAAGTACTTGTCTTCACACTGTATTGTTTTTAAACAAACCTGAATTCTGTTACCATCTGCTCCATTCAACAGGAAGGAATTTGAAATGAAATTTGAGTTCTTATCTGTGGTAGCCATAGGGATAATTTTTCTAGGCCTAAGGCTATTTTTTTAATTGTTGTTAAAACTAACAGGAGCATTTGTTATTAGCAAAAACCAACTGATTTTTAGACTGAGTAATAGGTGATGTTGTTGAATGAGTAGATGTGGAAATGTGTGTTACAGAACCTGTGGTCTAGTTGTTCTCCAAGGTGTGGATAATACCCTGCTTCATGGACTTCCTTCTTTCTATAAGGGCATTGTAATCATGTTTGCTTAGAGAAGTAGGAGAAAAGGTGGTTTAGGTAGCTCTAAATATAACTTGTAGTTAGAGAATTGGCATCACAGTAACAAAGGCTTTCTGGGGATCTTCAGCAAGCCACTGTTTGGGGGACCACGTTGGTAAACATATCTCTTGCACACTAATTCTGCACCAGACCTTGAGCTAGCTGGGTTTCTGGTGTTGCAGGTCATGATAACTCCGCATTGAACTTCTGTGTGTGAAAGACCATCAGCGGAGTCAAATGCATTGGTCATCTTCAGACTTCAGTAAGATGCAGTTCTGCCTGATGGACGCTGGTACGCCAGCGTAACTGGCCAGTGCATAATCTGCAAAACAAGATTGTTTTGCGTCCCTAATGTCTCTAAACCTTCCTCACTACTAACCTCTCGTTGTTCTTTTTTTTTTTCCCCATAGCTGGCACCAGAAAACACTCTGATGTCCTTCCAGAAGGCGGTGGAGCAGAGGATGTATGGCGTCCAAGCTGACATTGTACTGAGGTAAGCCAGTGTGCTTGTTGGTCTGAGATTTTCTCTGTGGATGACCCAAACCATGCTGGTGGGTTGTTCCTGTCTGGCGTGTGTCTGGTTGTTACTGCTTTTTCCCATTGAAAAGGGCTCTTGTACTGTACGTACCTGTCAGCTCCTAGCTGTCTCCATTTGTAATGCACAGATGCTACTAATTGTTCCACCAAGATGATGATTAAAGGTGAAGTTGCCCAGGTGGGGGAACCTGGATACCTTTGTCATGAAACTAACCTTCGTTTGCAGGAAGACTGTAGCAGAAGTGGCTTTACTGCAGTGAAGCCCAGCACCTGGTTTCTAGCCTGGCTGGAAGTCAGCTGGCCATGAGAAGAGACAGAACTGCTTGAATGTGACTTTTGCAGGGTAGCCTCAGGTGTAGAGGAAGCGGAGAATCCCAAACTGACTTATCTGCACTGCAAGTCTTCAGGAGGGTTTTTACCAGCCTTGCAAAACTGTCAGAAGAATTGAGCAGCCCAGGAATAAGCCCTTTTTCTTCTTTTCCTCCTTCACATGTCACTAATCCTGGGGGAAGGAGGAACCTGGTGATACTGCTGACTGTCAAAAAGTCATTCCTTGCAGGCAAACATTGAGCTGAATTGACAAGGCCAATTTAGACAGGATTTAGAGGGTTATTTCAAGAACTGTTCTTCGTTCCAGGAGTTTGATAATTCTTTAATATTCTTGTTCCTTTTCTGAACAGTGTTTTTGCATGTGTTATGTAGATGTGCAAGAGGGCAGAAGTGGCGTGAAGGGAACAGTAATGCCCTATCTTGGTGATCCCTAAGTTTGTCTCAGTTTCAGTTATAAATACAAGAAAGACTCAAAGCTGATATTTTCTTTTTCCCTGACCACTTTGGACATTGGTGTTGATGGAAAGATATTTTTGCCTGGTGGAACATAGGTTTCTGAAGTTTAGTTGTTAGGGTGCTTTTTTGTTCTTTGTATAATTGTTTGAGAGCAAATGATACAAAAACTAAAGGAATTTCTTCTACCTAGGGAGTGGAAGGTCATTATGGAAGGATGAAAGATGAATCGGGATGTTTGCAGTACAATCATTCTTTCAAAAATGGTTGGACTTGATGATCTTGAAGGTCCTTTCCAACCTAGTGTTTCTGTGATTCTGTGATTTCTGTGACTGTCCACACTCACAAATGAGCACTCTGCTCACGTGGTGGCTGAATTGGTTGCTTCCATTAGCACTGGCCAAGGGGAAAGGTGGACTTTTGGGAGGAGACCTGGAAAAGCTCCAGGATCTTTCCATGTTGTCATTTATCAGCCATCCTAGTGGAGCACTCCAAGGATCCCATAGCTTAAACAATGCCCTTAATGGCCCAATTATCTGAGTGCCTCTTTAGGACACACAAGTCTCTTTGTAAAAAGAGGACTCCAGTGACCTTCACACCAAGAAGTGAGCTATCAATACAGCTGGCAGGAATTTTGTGAAGGATTTGCAGCACAACACCCACTGTTGTCCTTATCCCTTTGAAAGATGCTCTTTGCTTAATGGGTCCGTTCCACCTGGGATGTCCCCAGGGTGTCCCTCCTAGGATGTCTCCATGTTCCTCTAGTCATGTATCAGCTATGCATACACTCAGACCTATCACATCCTGCTCCCTACCCATTGCACACCCCAAGCTGGGTGGCCCTCGTTATAAAGCCAACTTTGCTTCCAGCAGCAGGAGCGTAGTATCACTGCGTGTTCCCCCCTCGTTTCCTACCTCCTCCCACACGTTGTCTTCTCAAACTCTTTCTCTGTCTCAAATATTTTTCAGAGCTGTGCCTGCTAATACGTTGTGGTTAGCCTTGGGTAGTGCTGAGCGACCCCGTAAGGGGAAAGATTGGACAGGAGGGAGCAAATGTTAAGTGCCCCATAGGATTTCCGCACTGTGGTTAAGGCTCAGCAGCATCTGATGATGCTCTGTTACGAGATGTTAAGACTTGAGCTCCTGTCTCTCTTAAACACTCCACACTCTTAATTCTGCAGTTGCTTAGCAGTTTTTCTTTTTTTTTTTTTTTTAAATTGTATTTATTAAAAACCCTTCTGATTGCAGCAGCATTGTGTGCTGCTGAACATGGTATTGCTGTGTCAGCAAGCTGCTTCGGGTTGGTGGGGGGAGTAGTTGGCACAGTGCATGCTAGAAATAGCAAATAAAGATGCCGGTGACCTTTGTGATAAGGGACTTCTGCAGGCAGTGGTAAAGCTGAGGCAGCGTTTGCTCCATCATCTAAAACTATTTTTTGTTTTCCCTCTAGCTCTGGGGGTTAGAGCCCTGGGTTGTCTCCTAATTCAAATGGGGCTTGTATTTGAACCCCATCTCCTTTCCAGACTTTGTGAGTCTCCTATTGTGGTGGGCTCCTTGACTTGGAAAAATGTCATTATAATCAGGCTGGCTGTGCTGGGTTTATCTTGATTTCTGAGTGCGGATGACTGTCCCCTGCCCTTGATAGAAACAGCCGCTGCCCTGTGTGGTGTTACCACTGATCCAGTCACAGAAAATTGGACTGGAAGAAAGACAGAAGAGTTTTTTAGGTTTCCCAGAACCATTATTCTGTAATATCTAGATGGCTTAAAAACATAGGGCATGCATTTGGCTATTTAGTTTCATCTGAAAGGCATGTTTTCTTTAAGATGCACCAACTTAACAACTGATGTGAGCATGACTATTTCCTGAAACCAATTTTCAATTGTAAAAAGCAATTGCAGAGCAATTTTGGTAGCTTGGAGCCCTTTCTTGCTGAAAGCCTGTGAACATTAAGTTCCCCTATAGTCTGAGAGCATTTGAAAATCTTACTCATCACCTACTATTAACAATTTGAGAGTAGTTTGTGTATGTGTCTGTGCATACAGGGTATGGAAAACCTCTGATATTATTGGGAGCTACAGACTCTGCAGAAAGCTTTCGTTAGCATCAGCATTCAGGGTGGATATTCTTGTCCAAGCTACCTGAGTTTGGCACTCTAGAAATTTTGAGGAGGTAGTGGGGAGGAAGGAGGGAGGGATAGGGTCATGTCAGCGTTTGAATGACTGCAAACTTCTAGCAGGTATCTAAGAGACTTTTTCTTCTGGGTGCATCTCATTTCGACTGGTCTTGGGGATGCTGGGGATGTGTTAAGCTGGTCAAGATGAATTTGATGTCAAGCTGTGAGAGAGGCTGGAGTGGGAATGGGTGTGGTTGTGCACCTCCACCTGTAACAGGGCCTCTGGGTTGTCTTTGCAGCTATGACGGAGTCCCATTTCTGATGCATGACAAGACACTCAGGAGAACAACCAACGTGGAGGAAGTGTTTCCAGAGCGGGCCTATGAGCACTCCTCCATGTTCAACTGGACTGACTTGGAAAAGCTGAATGCTGGAGAGTGGTTCCTACAGGTGCGTACGCCTGTGGAGAGCATGTCCTGGAGCCATGGCAATGGGATGAAAGCTCATGCCTAAACCCTTTTTGAGGTGGAGAAGTGTAGATCCATCTCCTCAGTGGAGTGGTCTGAAGTGCAGCTAGACCAAGAATCCATGAACCACATTTAGTTCTGTCCTCTACTAAACTTAGACTTGGTCTAAAAGACACATTGTCTTTCTGCGTCTCTTCCACCACCTGGAAGAAGGAGCCTTAATGTCTGGTTGACAACACAAAGAACTTCAAGGCCCCTGGGAGGAGGAATGTGATTATAAAGGGAACAGAAAAGACAGCGTGTTATATGCTATTCCTTTTTCTTTCATTTACTTCTGGAGACAATTGAAAGAATTACAAAGGAAAAACAGGAAATTCAAGGGGGGAGGAATTGCTTTGAAGCAGTCATTCCTGAATGTCCTTAAGTCAGGAGCCCATCTCTTCGAACAACCCATAGCCCCTCTCTGATCACTCTTAGTCATACAATAGCTTGTCCTTTTTATTTTTGGATTCTAAAGAATCCTTGGTCATCATGTACCTAGTGTGAGAAAGTAAATTTTTAGCTTACTACCTCGGTAGCTTACATTACTGCCCTATAGCTCTGCTCGCCTCCTGGAAATGAGGTGACCTGCCCAGCACACCTTGCTTTCCGTAAGGATCTGTGACCTCCCCTTGGGTAGGGAAACTGAGGCACAGAGCTTCAGCAAGCTGTGAGATGGTCATCAAGCTGTCAGCAACCCCCACTGTTGCCAAGGACAGAAAGAAAAAGGTCTTCACCTGCATTGGATGAGTTTGGGCTTTATGGCATTAATGCTGGGGTGTGCTTTGCTTTCAGAATGACCCTTTCTGGACGGCTGGGTCTCTCTCAAGGTCCGACTACTTGGAAGCTGCCAACCAGTCAGTCTGCAAGCTGGCAGATATGCTAGAGGTGATCAAGGACAACACATCACTCATCTTGAACTTCCAGGACCTGCCACCAGCTCATCCCTACTACAGCACTTACATCAACATCACCCTGGAAACCATCCTGTCATCGGGAATTCGACAACAGGCTGTGAGTTCTGTGGGGTTGGTGATGTTTCCAAAATTGCTCTCTTTATGAGTTCCCCAAATCTTGAAGTGTCTCATCTGATCCACTTGATTTGAAATGCCACTTCATGCCAGGAAGTCATGCTGGGGAGGACTGTGCCTCCAGGCTGGTAGTTCCAGAGTTGGAGGTCCCAGCAGAGGGATGAAAGTGATTATTCCCCTTACTCAGCAATCACGTGTTCAGCATAGGGCTCACCAGGACAAGACAGTTGTTGTTAACTGCAGTAAGTCCTGCAGAGGCCACCAAACTGGTCAGGGGGCTAAACATATGGGGACGGGCTGAGGGAACTGAGTTTGTCCTGGAAAAGAAAAGACTTGGGAGAGATCTAATAGCAGGTCTCCGGTACCAACAAAGAGGTTGCTGAGAAGTTAGACCCAAGCTCTTCGCTGGGCTGCGTGTCAGGAGGATGAGAGAGAATCGTCATAAATTGGAACGGGAGAGGTTTTCGCTGAATGTAAGGAAACGAGTTTTCCCTGTGAGGGCAGGCAAGTGTTGAGGGGAGCCAGGAGAGACCGAGGGATCTCCATCCTTGGAGCTTTTCAATCCGCAACTGGACAAAGCCCTGAGCACCATCTTTGAAATCAGTGCTGGCCCTGGTTTATGTTGGAGTAGAGATCTCCTGAGGTCCCTTCCCAACGAGCAATTTGATAAGAGCCTCAGACACAAGAGAAGAGGCTGAGACCTGGAGGCCAGTTGTGAGCAGCAGAGTGCCCTTCCTCTCCCTCCAGCTCCTTGGTTTTAAATAATCCTTCTCCCTGGGTTGAGCCACTGTTTCAGCCTAGAGTCAGCTTCTGCTTGGAGGAGAAATGGGTGTTCTGGAGGTACAGGGTTTTCACAAAGGTCTATGTATATACAGAGATCTCTTCTAGGCTTTCATTTCTGCCCCACAATTGTCCCTGCTGAGTTATGCCAAGCATTTTATTTTCCAACTCTGTGCTGTTGCAGTCAGAGCCCAGCCAGCCTTGTTAGCTGTGTCATCTCTGACCACGAGGTACAGATCTTCATCTAGCCCATCAGGAGCTCTCTGATGCAATCAACTCTTCTAGAGAAGAGCACCACTTCCCACGTTGTCAGAAGGGCACCCAGAGCTGGAGGTTCTGGGTGTCCCTTGGAAAACATCTCTTTGTGACCTCTCTTGGGGAGGAAATCTGGTTCTTTCACTTGTCCTGTGCTTTCCCTTGAGTAGGAACTGGTTGAAAACAGTGTAGTGAGGCTGGCGATGGAATGAATACACCACAGAATCATTAAGGTTGGAAAAGACCTCGAAGATCATCAAGTCCAACCATCAACCCAACACTCCCATGCCCACTAAACCATGTCCTGAAGTGCCACGTCTACATGTTTTTTGAACACTTACAGTGATGGTGACTCCACCAGCTCCCTTGGCAGCCTGTTCTAATGTTTGACCACTCTCTCAGTAAAGAATGTTTTCCTAACATCTAGTCTAAGATACCCACGGCTCAGATATTTTGTCTGTACCAGTTAGATGCATCTGCCTGTGCAGACAAGTTCAGCACTGACTTGTGCAGTGATGGGCCCAGGAGGGAATAAATATTTTTAACTTCCACCTTTCTTTCTAGTGACTGACACTGCCACCCAGTTTCCAATTAACTATGTGGCTGCAGTGACAGTGTTATCCACAAGCCTCTGCCAGCTTTGCTAGATCCAAGGGAAGACCATGCTGTCTTCTGCTTGGATATTGGGATGGAGAGCAGGAGAAAAATAGTCAAAACATAAATGTGGGGTTGTGAAGTGGTATTTCTCACCCAGGTTTGAAGTTTCCCTATTGAAAATACATATGGCTGCATCCAGGCTGCTCTGAAGGATGCTTTGGTGGATGAGTGCCACTGAGTTATTAAACGTGGGTTAAAGCAATGCAATGCCCAGAGCTACTGCTGAGATCACCTGTGTGGGCCCAGCCTCTGCACGGCACAAACCATAAAACCACCCAGCTTGGTTCCTACATCCACTTTACACCTGGCAGCCCAGCATGTTAACAGTAATTAATTTGACATGCTTTCAAAGCTTGCTGTGAACCTCGGGAAATCCTTGCCCTGTGCTAGAGTAGATGTAGCCCTGATAAAAAGGGTGATTAAACCCAGTCTTAGCCACGGGACCATAGGAGGCTTCTTCTGCACGTCCTGTCTGCACTGTCAATTTTAGCCTCACGTCCTTAGCTCACTCTCTGCCCTGAACTGGCCAGGGACGACAGGTTTTCAAGGATACACCATGTTGCTTCTCCTGAGCCCTTGGCCCGATCCCTTTGTACCCCAACCCTTTTAATCTCTAAGGTTTTGTGCATTACAGCCCTCTGGGCTTGCAGACAATCCTAAAATGCATTTGAATAGAGATGTGGGAGACTGTAAGCGTCTCCTAGACAATTTGTATGACAAACGAGGCAGTGCCTCGTGTGATTTTGCTTCTGGCTTGGTGTAAACTGGCTGTCTGTAAAGCTGCCCCATGTTACCAGCTTTGTGAACCATCTTTGCCATAGCCATGCTCTGTCTTGCTCTCTCTGCAGGTGATGTGGCTGCCGGACACGGAGAGGCAGCTGGTCAGACAGATTGCGCCGGGTTTCCAGCAGACTTCTGGCCTCAAGCTGGATGCAGAGCGCATGAGGGAGAAGGGCATCGTGAAGCTCAACCTGCGTTACACCAAGGTCACGAACGAGGATGTCAGGTACAGCCCTTGTTCGGACACCGCGTGATAGCCCATGTGCTCCACGGTGGGTGTCCGCAGCTCTGTGCATGCTTGCTAACCTCACGCCCTGTGTGCATCCCTGGCCCGGCAGCATCTTTTCTGATCATCCCAGGCTGTGTAATCTGCATGGAAGTATCGTATCAGATGGACTTGCTCTTGGAAGCTTGAGCTGTGCAAACTTGTCCCTACCCACCATCCAGAATCCAGGCTGTTCCCAGGAGCACACAGCCGGCTCCAATAACTCCACATGTTAATTCAGTATATGATGATCCTTTCTGAAATACAAATACATGAACTGTCTGATTCTTATTACGCTGTCAGCTCTGGAAAAAGTGAAGGTTTTTCACACCGAGTACCTCCAAGTATCCTCATTAGCAACTGCCCTTTGCTTCTGTTCATTTGCTCCAGAATTGCTACCACAGAATTTTGATTAGTTCAAAGTCTGGGTATGCTTTCAGAAATTTCTCATTGCACGGAATTCACCCATTTCATTACCGTCTTTTGTCAGCTATTTAGACTGGTCGGGTCTCCTCTTTAATGAGATTGGCACAGTGTGGGGTTCCTCTCCTTCTGCTTGAGCCTGTATTTGAACCGTGCAGCGTGTTAGCTCACAGCTTCGCCCCCTTCTCAGCAAGGGCAGATTGTGTCTAGTACAGCTTTCGTACTTGAAAATGAAACAGGTTTGCAGAAGAAAAATGTCTTCGAAGGAGCTATCTTACTGTACGTTTGGGCTGGAAGTAGAGAAAAGCTGAGCCTGCAGCTGTCTGAGAGCCCGATCCTATTCACCATAATCCAGTGGTGTCTTTCTGTAGCTGCCAGCAATCAATCTAGTTGCTCACCCTTAAAACCAAGTCTGTGCTTTACCTGCAGGATAATTTCTGCCTGTTTTACCCCTACCTATTTGCTCTGTCTCATGGAGCGGCCCATATGCCAAGTCTCTCGTCTACCCCAGCTCATCAGCCCCAATCTCTCATCAATCCCACCTCAGCTGTCTCCAAAATCAGACCTGCCATCTGAGGGTTTCTTGAACCCTGAAGGCCTTGTGGTGCCCTGTCAAATATTGCTGCAGTCGTGCAGCACAAGCCACAGCAAGCTCAACAAGTCCTGGTATAACGCAATTTCCTCAGTGCCCCCAAAAATCAGCATCTGGATGTAATGTTGCTGCGACCACATCTGCCCTTGAGAATCCCTTAGCCTTTGGAGCAGCTTGATGATGGTGTCAGCTTTGAGATGTCCACATCTTGTACAGTGGCCTTCTACCTCAAAGTGCTTTGCTGATATTGAATTGCAAGGATTAATCTCTGTGCTGCCCATGGAAGGGAGATTAGTGATGCTTCTGCTTCGTAGACAAGGAGACAGAGTAATTTGTGCAAATCGCATGGGTGCAGGGAGACCTTGACAACTCCTGTACCCCAGCTTGCAGTTTCATCTTCTTGGAATATGACCTCAGGAGACTGGAAGCTGTAACTCTGCGACTGTCCCCAAAACAAGGGCATGGAAGTTGCAGGAATTGATGTTGGAAATGCACTTTGTCAGTTTTTAATTAAGTAAATTGCCTATGAAGCATTACAGGCATCTGAGCCAGATGTTAATTTTACATCAACATGACAAGGCAGTTAGAAAAACATGACATGCCCATCATTTGTGAGGAAGCATCTGAGATGGGCTGTGGCCTGGGTCAGATAGCATCCAAGAGGTGAAGAAAGCTTTCAAGTTCAAACCATTTGATTGCAATGTCCTTGGGTTGCTTATGAAGTGGCTGTACCCTGTTAAAAAACTATTTCATGCAATTCAAACCCAACAAACTGTGATTGCAGTGGTGGCTGATGGCAAGAGCTCTCCTCTTGGAGATGAGGGTCTGACGTTTGCTAGGGGACTCGCATCTCACCTCATTTGTCTCCTGGCAGGGACTACACCATGGCAAACCTGAGTGTGAATCTCTACACTGTGAATGAGCCCTGGCTGTACTCCATCCTGTGGTGCGCCGGTGTCCAGTCGGTCACCTCCGACAACTCCCACGTCCTTCGCAAGGTGCCTTTTCCCATCTGGCTAATGGTAAGCACAATGCCTGGGAAGCTGCTGTGAACCCCTGGAAGGAGGGCAGGCAGTGGAGGTGTGTAGAGATGGACTGCAGCCATGTGTCTAGTGGGTTTCTTCAGGAAAGGTTTGGTTGGGTTCAACATGCTGTTGGGCTTGAGGGTTTTCACCCTCTGTATGCTTGAGCCCTGAGGTGGTAACGGATCCATGCTCCTCTTGCACAATCCCTTCCTTCAGATGGCCTCGTCTCTCCCCATACAGGGTTTGGGAGCCTTGGAGGTTGTGTTGCATGCCCCATTTAACTCACATGATTTTTTCCATTTTCCACCAATGGACCTTTCCAGACCTGCTGAGCAGCTGTTGAGTTACAGAAGAAGCAGGTACACAGGTGAACCAGCAAACCTGGCTTCTGTGTTTCAGCGAGGCTGAAAAACTTGCTTTTTGTCTGTTTTTAATACCAAATGAAGACAATATTTCAACTCTGGCAACACCGTTGTCGGACAAGGAACAACCAGAGACCAAAGGTAGCCCCCTTACCCATCATATAGCCAGTAAGCTTTCTAAAAACTCCCCTAGCACTTTGGGTCTCTGAACCAAAGAGGAATATTCATGTTGGAGTGGAGGGAAAATTATTCAATAGTTGCATCAAAGTATTCCCAAAACAAGAGCTCAGCTGCAGAGGTATAAGTACATGTGATGGAGGGGCTATTTTCTGATGACAGATCCTGTTGGGGGTAGGACAGGAGGCAGCTGATTTACCTGCTGCCCTGGCAGATCTACTTGGGAAAGGGGAGAATAAGATGAGCACAAGGAGAATTGACTGTTAATGAGTTATCTGTTGTTTTAGCTGGAGGTAGGGCCTCAAGTCTACTGCCTAGATGGATGAACAGCTATGCATGATGTCCTTAGCCTTAGCTTAACCTACTACGTGTGTCTGACTACACAAATTCACACTTGTGTGCACTGAAGCCGGAGAATTGAAAATCATAGAATCATTGATGTTGCAAGGGACCTCTAAGATCATCAAGACCAACCATCAACCCAACACCACCATGCCCACTAAACCATGTCCCAAAGTGCCAGGCCTACACGTTTTTTTTGAACACTTTCAGAGATGGTGGCTCCATCACCTCTGAGCAACCTGTTCCAATGTTTGACCACTCTCTCAGTAAAGATACTTTTCCTAATATCCAATCTAAACCTCCCCTGGTGCAACTTGAGGCCATTTCCTCTCGTCCTGTCGCTGGTTACTTGAGAGAAGAGGCCAACACCCTCGTCGCCACAACCCCCTGTCAGGTAGTTGTGGAGAGCGATAAGGTCTCCCCTTGGCCTCTTCTTCTCCAGACTGAACACCTCCAGTTCCCTCAGCCGCTCCTCATAAGACTTGTGCTCCAGACCCCTCACCAGCTTCGTTGTCTTTCTCTGGACATGCTCCAGCACCTCAACGTCCTTCTTGTAGCGAGGGGCCTTTATAAATGGTTTTATAAAGGCTGAATTTGTTGGCAGAAGAGATTGTCATCATGTGCATTGTGCTGCTGCAGACATCTGTCCTCTACTACAGCTGGCAGGAGTTGTGTGCACATCACTGGCAGCCTTTTACTCCAAAAAACCCTTTGCCAGTGATGAAAGCAGCTGATACTGGCAACACTCCTCTGTGGACTCTCCCATCTGCTGGATTTCCAACTCTGCTCTGAGTGCACACTCTGATAATCACCAGCAGCATAAAAATCTCTCGATGTCCTGCATATTGAAGTGCCTGGGCAATGTAATCTAACCAGCTTTGCCATCTGAACCCCCTCCACCACGTGGGACATGGCTCAGGAGCTGGAGTAAAATGGTTGTTTCTGCCAAGCTTTGGCTGTCAAGTGCCCTCGAGGTCTTCACTGGGCTCTATCGTCAACCGAATGATGCAAATCTGTTCCGCCCCATTCACCCAAAGGCCATTTGCAATTGCAGAAATACATTTAACTTGTGTTTCACCTAAATAAAAGGAAAAACAAAAAAGTAGAAGTGAGTTTCTCTCCCCTCTACTCTTGAGGGAAAGCTGCTGGTAAGAACAGAGGCCTTCAGACACAGCATGGAGGAGGGCTTCGAAAAGCTTGAGCTGGGGTGCAGCCCCTGACTTGATGTCCTTAAAGCAGGTGCCCAGTGTGGGACCCCTCTCCGCAGTTTTGGGAGTCTCCTTCGGATCCAGGGTTTGAGTTACTCTCTGCCCAGTTACACTGAATTGATGAAGGGTTTGACGGGCTGCAAATGTGAGGATTTCAGGAGTGGGACTTATTTTGGGTAAAGTTTATAAAAATAACTCAAAAATAATGCCACTGAAACAGCCTTGTCTAAAAAAGGGGAACTGCAAGTGAAATAGCAAATTCCTTGATGTGGGTGGAGCAGGACAAGAAGTTGTCTATGCAATAGCTATTTGCTGACCTGTGCTCCCTTCTCTGCAGGGCTGAGGAGGCATCTGCTCGCTGGGCACTCCTAAAAATATGTGTAGGGTGCATGTCTTGGAAAAATTCCAATTTTCCCCTTTTGGTCACCTTGAGAATTCCCTTTTTGTCATTTATAAAACCTTGATTTGGTACCAAAAACTTCCAGCTTTGAGCTTTCTGCAGGACTTAAAAAACTATTTGTGTAGTACCTGTAATCAGGTGCTGGAGTTTTCCCAGAAAACTGTCTTTATGTCTACCTATTGCTTGGGGTATATCATAGGAAATGCAACTTTCTCCCCACAGGAAAACCTGCTGTTTGAGTTCTTCAGTTATGAAATAGCAACAGTTGCATAAATGAAAAATTTAGACCTGTAGATTTTGTTCTAACTTGGAAGACTCTTGAGTTTTCATTCAAAATAGTTATGATGGCACTCTCCTGCCAGGAAAATGGGAAACGTCAATTTTGTGTCTGTTAGTCTTAACAGATACATCAAATGTAACATTAGATGTCAGCCTTTGTAATTAAGCTGGAAAATACAAGGATTAAATCTCCATCAGAAGCATTGGCTAATTAAAGCATTGCCCTACTATTTCTGTGGTCCACTCTCACCAGATAAACTGAGACGCACACAGAGTCACTGAACAGAAAAAAAAAAAAGTTCTCTGCTGGGAGACAGAGGTAGCGGAGCTGGTGGCTCCCGACGGGTTTTATCCATGTCCCACTACCATTGCATGAACTCGTCTTTATGCATTACATGTGCCGTTGCTCTAATGAACTATTTCTCTTATGCATTAACGACGGTAGTGGTGGTTGTGATGGATCTGTCCGGTGTGAAATCGGTGACCTTTTCCTGCTTGGGACTAGTCCAGGTTTGGGAGAGGAGAAACTCGTTAGCCTCACTGGTGTCTGTCCTGGGTAGGTGCCTTCTGAGCATCGTTGGGAGTTGATCGTTATTATTGTTATCACTTCGTTGTCTTTGCTGGGCAGCACAAAAATCAATGTGAAGTAGTGTGCTTCTGCGCTGAGTTCAGACGATGGGTTCAGCTGGTGTGATGACCACAGCCACTCGTGACGGGCAAATGAAGCCAGAGCTACCAGTGCCTTAAAGGGCAGAAATTGAGAAGTATCTGCTTATAGCATGGGGACTGTGCAAAACAGCTAACGTCAGCACTCAACAGGGACCCTGCCTGTCTCGTGTGCAATGCGTATATATTTCTGTGTTTTCCCACAGACTTGGATTTCCAAACAGCATCTTAACCTCAGCTCGAGGTACAACTGAGACAGGAAACTTTCAGCCCACAAAGCTCTGAGAAAATGTCAGCACGTGAAAGGAGGGAGAGTTTAAAATTGTTCCTGTCTGCAGTTTTTCCTGATAACGTCATTTTGGGTGACAGGCTAGCATTAGAAGTGTCATAAATGTTGTGATCTATATGCGACCCCCGCAGCTCTGTGCTTTTCTTTCTGCCCTGGTGGTAACTTTAGCAGCGTGTGGTCTCCCTGTGATTGTACAAACCAGAAGGTTTAAGGTCTGCTTCTGTTTTCTTGTCTTCCAGCCTCCAGACGAGTACCACCTAATCTGGATCACATCTGATCTCATTTCATTTATCATAATTGTAGGAGTTTTTATATTCCAGAAGTAAGTAGCATTGTTACAGCTCAACTTTCACGTATTTGTGGCGTGTGTTTTTGTTCAGACCGTGGGGTGGAGATGGGAGAGAGGAGCACTGTGCTCCTCAGGCGCTTGGATTGCAATAGCAGGGAAACTGTTTATTAAAAATCCCTACAGAGACTCCAAACAATAATTCCACTTCTGAGATGTGACATGGAATTGGATGTAGTCGCTACTTTTTAAGGAGAATGGGAGATCTCAAAATAGTAGCGATAGACACCTTGCTCCGCTCATAAACGTGTGTGGGAGAGAAACTGTAAATGCTTTAGGGAAATGGACATTGAGAAAGATTAAAATGCTTTAAAGGCAGAAGAGGAGAGGTTTTGAGATTCTACCATTACAGTCTCCAAAAAGAACGTGTTATAGTTTTCTTAAATCTGTTTGTTCCTGTTTGGATGAAAAAATAGAAATATTATGATTTAACAAATCAAATCAGTTGCTTAGTTTGATGCATAGAGAAAGTCTCTGCATTTTCCGAAGAAAAAAGAGAGCAAGGATTTGATGAGGGCAGGGCAGAAGCCCCTCTGTTTAGCCAAGGTCCCTGAAAACAAATGCGGAGCAGAGCAAGTTAAGATACTGGTAAGTCAGGAGGAGGTAAATCAACTTCCTAATGGCAGAGTTGGCCAAGGTATCCTCCTCTTGATTATACTGGAGGAAACCATGGCGTCCTCCCGGTGATGTGCCTTTTCTCCTAGGAGGCATTTTAGCTGTCAGCGGTGACAGCGTAATAACCCTCGCTGGGAAAAAGCGTGAGCTCGGAGAGATGCGCTCCCTCCGGCGAGAAGCAGCAGCCTTCTCCTGGGAAAATGTGTCATCCTGAAATCGCGTCCCCTCTTCCCTTGGCGCTCTGATCCATCTGCTTTGGCATGCAGGAACGACTGTCCTAGAGACATCAAGGGATCTACACTTTCCCTCCTCCTTAATAGCTGAAATGCGTTCACATTAGGAGCAGCAATTTAATTTGCTTCAGCCTCATGAGCTAGTGATTTGGCTGTCGCATTGTCCCAGATCATCTGCTTGCAGCAATCTCTCTCCTTCCCCTGGGTACATAATTACCCGGGTATTTTTGCCACGTTACAGTAGGCTACTGCTCCTGCCAGCACCCGCTATGGATTTGACTTAAGCCACATGTTTGGTCTGTTTATAATTGTGCCTAAATTCATGACTTGCATGGTCCCACGCCGGTAGACCTGCGCTCAGCACGTCCCCAGTTCCAGCATGGGATAATGAAGTGAGCAGCAGATTCAAAATTCTCCTCTCAGATTAGATTTCCCAACAGTTAATGAAACCACTGACCAAGATGAGATTAAATTTTTTCTAAGAAGTCTTGTGATCTGAATTGTGGCTGATTTAAATGCTTCCTCTACAAGGGCATTGCAGATGTGCTGTCTGGAAGCTTCCTCCACTCCCTCAAATTCATCTATGGGTTTAATAAGAGATGTCCCTGCTCTTTAGACCCTGTATTTCTCTGTCAGGTACAGAAATGCACGGAGGAGTCTGGAGGCAGGGACTGACCTCTCTGAAGAGCGGAATTTGAAGCCCAAATTGATGAGATATTTGCAGCCTTTTGCATCATCTTCCAAAGCCAGTTTTAGAAGGCTTTCCTGAATCAGACCCAGGAGACCACAGCTGAAGAAATTAAACTGATTCAACCTGCTGAATGGGAACAGTAGGCCCCAGAGCAGAGTGACATGATACATGCTTGGAGAGAGGGAGAAGTCGCAGCTACGTGGACTTTGCAATAGTTGAACTCTTCTTCTCTGCACAGATTGAATTTCTTCCGGTTTGGAAGAAGTTTGATGGAATAGGGCAAGAGGAATCAGGGTAAGGAAGGAAAGCATTATTACAGGATTTCTCTTCCACGCTCAGTGTAAGTGTTATAGAGGTGAGAAGAGCTGGAAACTGCCACCAGCTTTCCCCAGGGTCCATCGACCTGGAGCACTGAGCTCCCCGCCCAGCCTCTGCACCCGATGTAGAAAGGCAGTTGCTCAGAAGAGGTCTGGCCACATGGGGTCCATCGTAGCAGGGCCAAATGTCTTCTTTTGGACCCTTGGGACAACTCAACCCCACCTCAGTAGAAGGAAGAAGGAGAAACTCTAGCACCAGAAGTTGGACTTTCTGCAGCAAAGGTCTTGCTCTTCCAAGAGCCGTGCGCAGGAGAGGCCCATTTCCCTGCCGTTCCAGTTTCTCCACCACATGGAAGAATTGGTAGCAGCACTGAGGATATCTCAAAACCAAATTGCAGCAGAATTGCCCAAGTACTACCTGCTGATGTGATTCAGCTCTGGGAAATGGGGTTTGGCATTTGGCCTTCAGTGTCATGGTTGGTTTTGTTTAGTGGTTTGTTTTGTGTTGTGGGGTTTTTTTTTATTTTTTTCCCCCAAGTCCTTTTTGGGGCAAACCAGAGCTGCTTCCTTCATGTAAGGATGAGGGGGGTGGGTGGGAACAGAGCCACCGCTTCGATGTGCTCGTCCTCTCTCCTACGCATGGCTTGTCTCTCCTCTGTAGCCGCGGGTAGGGATTGCTCCTGCTGTTCTGCTTCAGCCCTGGTGACAGGATCGTGGCAGCCTCTCCGGAGAGGAAATACCAACTGTGATGACTTCTAACCGATCTTTTTTTGCCTCTTTGCCTTGTTTATTTTCTTACTGCTCTGACTGTTGTGCATGTTCCTCCTCTTTCTCTCTCTGCTGCATTCTGGCATCTCACAGCTATCACATGATCAGGTAATTCTGGTGCTTTCCTCCTCTTTCTCTTTTTCATTCAACCTTCCTTTCTCTCTTTCTTTCTCCCTCTCTGCTATGGCTTCACTGCAGATGGACAGGGCAGGATGCAGTTTTTCATAATGCTTTCAAATATCTGGCTTCACAGGGGGACCATAAGGGTCTGAACATTGCATAGTCCATAGCCATGAGCACCACGGGACTCTGATCCTGAAGCCGTTTTGAAGGCAATCTGACCTTCTGTTACAACAATCCAAGTCGCTGCCTTTAAAACAGCCCTATTCTGAGGTCCTGCAGTGTGTTGTAATTGGGGAGATTCCCAGTGGAAGTAATGCTTTCTCCATGGAAATAATCCCATGCAAAATATCCCCTCCCTTCCTGCATTTACCAGAGGTTTTTGAGACCAACCTCTTCTAAATTGGCAAGTTCTAGAGGAAATAATGTAACCTGTTCAATTATATAAAATAGTGCTTCTCTAGCCCTGGGAATGAATTAATAAGGTTAATAGCTGGAAAGGTTTGGCTCTTCAATTGCTGCACTCGGAGCTTGGGGTCTTTCAGGACTCTCTTCCCAGTTGCACCACTGTGAAAACTGGAAATGCAGTAATATAACAAATTATAAATAAAAATAAATATAAAAATAAATAAATATTAAAAATAAAAAGTAATAAATAGCATTGCACCCAGGAAGGGAATGAGCCTGAGGTGCTGGATTTGAAATGCCATCAGCTGGAAACCCAGATTTCTCCTTGTATTGGCTGGTTTCTCACCCACCATTCTCATCCCCGTGGGGGGACGCACTGTCACTTTTCTGCAGTAAAGCCTTCACCGCATCCGTACTTGGACCAAACTCTTCACGTGTTACCTTCTCCATTCCTTCCGCTGTGTTCTGTGGGGTTGTATTTCTGGGGACTTGGCTACTCCCTGTCTGTGCTTATCTGGCCCTCTGCCGCTGCCCACCCACCACCTCGGGGGTCAAGGTTGGCCACATGCAAGTATTGCCTGCTCCACAAGGTACCTTGGACTTGCGGTGTTATGTCCTCGCGGCAACTCCCCAAAGCAGGACCTGGCTGTGGGTCCAGGCTGAGTCCTCCTACGACTGAAGGGAGGTTGGGTTTTTTCCCCTTGTTGCCTCCCACTTGCTCCCTGGCTTGCGGATAAGGAGAAGACAGGCATGAAGGAGGTGGGCAGGCTTTAGGCAAGGGCGGGTGCCGGAGCGGTTGCAGGATGGGGACTCTGGTTGCGGCTGGCTTAGCTCTTTGTTCTCTCCATCTTATCACCTCGGTACCAATCAACCCTGTTTTTTCCCTGACCTGCCCCTCTTCCATCCCCTTTCCCTGCCATTTAGCATCTCCCCTCCAAACCAGGGGTCCCGTCGTGGCCCTAACACGGTGTATGCTGTCTCTGTGTTGTTGTCCCAGTATTTTTTAGTCTGTTCCCACCCTGTGTCCGTCTGGCCTGCTTTGATGCCAACCTCCCAGAACAAGACCTACCTGCTGTCTGTCTGGCCTTTTTGCACGCTGCTGTCCTAAACGTGGCCGATCACAACAGAGTCCAAGGGGGTAGGAGAGGTGCTATTTTCTATTAAACAAGCTTTCTGGAGACCCAAAGGCTACTGAGCAGAGCAGAGAGTATTTCATACGGTGTTGGAGTTGCATTGTGATTAAAAGTACTGGCGGCTCTTCTAAGAGAGTATTTCAAAGTACCCCTGAAAAATGGGGTCACCCTGACGTGGCCTGTTCAATCAGAGCAACGCAGCCCTGTGAGAGGAGTCATGGGCCCCTTGCGCATATTTAACCACCCTGGGTCTGACCACAGCCACCGTACAAAATGGGGAGCAGAGAGCAGTGGTCATTCCTCTTGGCAGGAGGAGAAAAGCCCTTGGTCCCTGCACCCCTTTGAGGCTGGGCTGTCTGTGCCTCAAAATAGCCCATGCCCTCCATGGGACGTCTAGGACCTATGGGCAAGAGATCACCATGCCTCTTGGCCACGCAAACCAGCCTGGTGCTGAAAATCCTGATGTTGTGGGCAAAGAAAAGACTCACAATATAAGACTCAAGCAATATGTTTTGGTCCTGATCATAATTTAAGGAGGGTCTTATCCTTTGAGATCCTATGCACTTGGAACCACAATTGACCTTAGTGGGAACTGGCTGCAATAGTCGTCTTCCAGGTCAGAGTGACTCAGCTTAGACGATGATGATAGAAGAAAAATATGTATTAATTTTAAAATTTTTGTGTACTTCAATGTCTTTGCCTCCTTGTGCTTCCTCTGTGTTGCTTCTGTTCATGGGTCGTGAGTTGTGTCGTGTTGCCATCCCACCCCTTCTTTTCTCTGTAGCAGAGCATCTGCCTTCATCCGTACCCCAGTCAAAGCCCGATGGTGCGGTGTAACCCATGGGGATTTGGGAAAGGGATGAAACCCCATGAAATCAACACCAGCCAGATTTTCCTGGAAAAATTGCAAAACCTCTTTTGTGGATGTTGCATTGTCAGGCTGATGCAGTGGACCCTGGCTGGAGAGGTGTAATTTAATTTACAGAAATTAAAATTAAAAGAAATTTAAAAGAAGGTGGTTGTCAATCTGGGGGGGGG